CATTAAAAGAGTAATAAAGGAATATTGTGAACAACTCTATACCTGTAGTTTGATAGTGAATATACATGGGGTGATAAGTGTTTCAATTAATTTGATGTGGGAAGTCCTGTTACAAAGTATACCTATAGCTAGTCACTCCATTGTACATTTTAAATACTGTACAATTTTATCAATAATACCTTAATCAGCTGAAAAAATTCTACCAAATATTTAAGGAAGAAATTACACTGCTTCTGGACAATGTTTTCCAGAAAGGAGAAGAGGGAAACTTTCTAACTCATTGTGTGAGACCAGGATCCCAACATTTCAAGAAAGGGTATCTGTAAACCAATATTTCTTAGGAACATAGATGCAAAAATACTCAACAAAATATTAACAAATCCAAACATGTAATCAGAAGAATATATAGTTGGCCCTTGAACAATTATAAGGGTTATGGGTGCCAACCCCCTGGATAGTTAAAAATCTGTGTTATAACTTTTAACTCACCAAAATCTTAACTAATAGCCTATTATTGATCAGAAACCTTACTGATGAAATATTCAGTCACTTAACACATATTTTATATGTTAAATGTATTATAAACTGTATTCTTACAATGAAGTAAGCTAGAGAAAAGAAAATGTTATTACAATTATAAGAAAATATATTTCTAGTATTTATTGAAAAAATCCATATATAAGTGGACTTGAACAGTTCAAGGGTCAGCTGTACACTACCACAAATCCCACAACCAAGTGGGATTTGTTTCAGGTCTTTAAGCCTCATTCAACATTCAGAAATTAATGTAATCCATTACATCAACAGGCTAAAGAAGAAAATATCATACAATCCTTTCAGTAGATGCAGAAAAAGCATTTGACAATATCCAACACCTATTCATGATAAAACCTTTTAGCAAGTCAAAATAGAGGGGGAATTTCCTAAATGTGATAAAGAACATCTTCAGAAGTTTCACAGCTAACTTCATTTCAATGGTGAGAAACTAGAAGCTTTCCTGCTAAAATGAGGAAAAAAGAAAGGATCCCCTCTGCCAGTTTTGTTCAACATCCAATGAGACAGGAAATAAAAGATTTACAGATTGAGAAGGAGAAAATAAAACTGACTTTGTTTGCAGATGACATGATTGTCTACATTAAAAATATGAATGAATTAAAAATAACAACAAAGAAAAACAAAATAACATACCAGAACTTAATAAGTGGATATAGCAAGGTTGAGGATACAAGGTTAAAATACAAAAGCCATTTGCTATCTTATTAAACTAGTAATGAACAACTGGAATTTGTTACTGAAAACATGGTATCATTTGCATTAGCAAAAAAAAAAGAGAGAAATAGGCCCAACTATAACAAAATAAACAAGGCCTATGTGATAAAACCTATAAAATTCTGATGAAGAGAAAGAAGAACAATCTAAATAAATTATGGATAGGAGCACTCAATATTTTATCAAGGTATCAGTTCTTCCCGACTTGAGCTATAGATTTAACACAGTCACAGTCTAAGTCCCAGCAAGTCAATAGGTATATATTGAAAAATTGAGTCTGAAGTTTATACGGAGAGGGAAAACATGCGGAGGAGCCAACCCAATGTTGAAGGGAAAAAAGAACACTGGAGGACTGACTCGAGCTGACTTCAAGACTGACTATGAAGTTACAGTAACCAGGAGAATGTAGAATTGGCCAAAGAGCAGGTAAATGATCACAGGAGCAGAATCGGGAACCCAGAAATGGAGCCGCACAAATAGAGTAAACTGATTGAGAATGAATCAAGTCAATTTAATGGAGAAAGGAGTCTTTTTAATAAGTGGTGTTGGAACATCTGTGCACATGCAAAAAAGAAAAAATGAATCTAGACACAGATCTTACACTTTTTACAAAAATTAATTAAAAATGAGGCCCTGGCTGGTGTAGCTCAGTGGATTGAACACTGTGAACCAAAGTGTTGCAGGTTCGATTCCCAGTCAGGGCACATGCCTGGGTTGCAGGCCATGACCCCCAGCAACCATACATTGATGTTTCTCTCTCTTTTTCCCTCTCTTCTCTCTCTAAAAACAAATAAATACAATCTTAAAAAAATTAATTAATTAAAAATGGATCACAGCCTTACATATACAGTAAACACAAAACTATAAACTGCCTAGAAAATAACCTAAGGGAAAATCTTGGTGACCTTCTATTTGGCTATGACTTTTTTAGCTAAGACCCCAAAAGCATGATCCATCAAAGATAGTATTAAGTTGGATTTAATTAAAATGAAAACTTTTGCCCTGGGAGAGGCACTGTTAAGAGAGTGAGAAGACAAGCTACAGACGGGGAAAAATATTTGTAAAATGCATGTCTAATAAAGTACTTATATCCAAAATATACAGAGAACTGCTCAAACTCAACAACAAGTAAACAAATAATCCAGTTTAAGAATGGGCAAAAGATCTGAGCACACATTTCACCAAAGAATGGAGAGGGCCCTGGCTGGTGTGGCTCAGTGGATTGAGCACTGGACTGTGAAGCAAAGGGTCACCAGTTCAATTCCCAGTCAGGGCACATGCCTGGGTTGCAAGCCAGGTCCCCAGTAGGGGTCATGCAAGAGGTAACCACACATTGATGTTTCTCTCCCTCTCTTTCTCCCTCCCTTCCCCTCTCTTTAAAAATAAATAAGTAAAATCTTAAAAGAAAAAAGAATGGAGAGGGAATTTTACATTGAAACAACAATGAGATACCACTACACAACTATTACAATGACCAACAGTATCAAATGCTAGAGCAATAGCAGCTCTCATTCATTGGTGGTGCTAATGCAAAATGTTAATGCCATTTTGGAAGATAGTTGTTCAGTTTCTTACGAGGTTAAACATAGTCTTGTCCTGCAGTGCACCAGTCAGGCTCCTTGGTATAACCCAAGTGAGACGAAAACTTAAGCCACACACAACTTACATATGAATGCCTAGAGAAGTTTTATTCATAATTGCTAAAACCTTGGAAGCTACCATGATGTGCTTTGATAGATCAATGGATAAACATACTGTGATACATTTCTGAATGTTATTCCTGGAATATTATTGTTCTGGAAAGGAATGAACTATCAAGCCATGAAAAGACATGGAAGAAGCTTAAATGCACTTTGCTAAATAAAAGAAGCCAATCTGAAAAGTTACTTGTATTCAACATTCTATTCAGTCATAAATGTACTGCATGAATCCGAGCATATGACACTGTGGAAAAGGCACAGTTATAGAGAGAATAGAAAGATCAGTCGTTGCCAGGGTCCAGGGAATGAGGGAGGGAGGGATGAATAAATAGAGCTGAGTGAGTGGGTATTTAGGGCAAGGAAACTATTCTTTATGATGCTGTATGGTGAATACATGACACTTTGCATTTTTTAGTATCCATAGAACTGCTCAATTCAGAATAAGCCCTAGTTCACACTGTGGACTTTAGTTACTAATAAATTATCAATATTGGTTCCTCAATTTGTAACAACTAATTGATTAAAACTCACTACTGCATGTTTTAATAGGGAAAACAGTGGAAGGAGGATGGGAGGGCAGTAAATGTGAGTGCTCTGTAACTTTCTGTTCAATATTTCTTTAATCCTAAGTTTCTAAAATATAAGATTTATTAATGGAAATAAAACACTTAGTGAAATGGAAATTCCAGGGCAGTCGATTATTACACAGGTAGATAATCATGTTTATAGATTATCGTATACATATGTAAAGGTCTAAGCACAGAAGTGTCCATGGAAACATTGTTCATATTAATAAACACAGTAAATGCCTGCATTATGATATGTAAGTACGTTGTAAAATCTGTGGCCATTAGAAAGGTGAAAATGGAGAGGAGTATAGGAATTAGAAATTTAGGACACAGTGACTGACTGAGGAATGAATGGAATCCAATATGTTGCTTAGATCTCTGCCTTGGGCTGAACTGAATAGGTAAAGAGTGAGAATTATGATCAGTCTTATCCTGGACTTACTGTACCCAAAGTTTCTGTGGATCACAACACCCAGGAAGCAATCAGGTATGTGGGTTTTGAATATCAGTGGGTTTGGACAAAGATAGTGGGAGCCATAAGGGTTGATAAAATCACCCAGCAAAAATGAAAGGATTAGAGGTTAGAAAGGTAAAAGTAAAATCAGGAGACCATGTCATGAAAGCCAAAGAAAAACACAGTTCCAGCAGAGAATGTTTAACAGAGATCAGGTAAAATCAGACTGAAAAATGAGTACTGGATGTGGTAGCATGGAGGTCCTGGGCTATCCTGGACCACTCCATGGTGATAGCACTGTTACTGTCCGGGTGCCATGTAGACCCTTTTGTCTTGAAAACAGTTTTATTGGGTCATTAGCCCCACAACATTTCTTAGAGTCTTTTATATACCAGTGTACATCAAGAGTCTTTCCAACAGGGTTCCTCAAACTTATTTGACCTAGGAAGCCTTTTGCTGTTGTTTTAGCATTTTTCAGGACTAGTGTTATGTAGAACACAACTTAGGAAACATTGGAGTATACCAACTTTTGAAGAAGCTTGACGGCAAAGAAATTAGAGAGGTAGAGGAGTAACTTGTGGGAATATGTAGCATTCAGTCAAAACTTCAGGATACTTATAATAAACAAAGTGACGAGAGTAAGGGATATAGAGAGAGTAGTATTATAGGCAGGAGTTTCTTGGAGTCCCAGATGAGATGAAGGGGACTGGAATCCTGAGAGTGAGTGTAATTTTGAGCAGAGAGAAGAAAGTATAAAAGGATGCAGATAGCTGAGGAGAGTGCCAGTTTCACTATTCGGTGAAGCAAAATAATAGCTTGTCTTGTAGACAGAAAATTGAAAATACTCCATTGTGCTTTTGAAAAGAGAAAAATTCGTGGAAACTGTGATATCACTTAATAGTCCCAGTTATGTTATTTAGTGGATGTGTGTGAGATGTTTCCAAGCAGAAATTTCTGCTATGCTTATGCTAGAAGTCTCAGTGATTTTTAAAATTTTGTATTTCTCAGGATGCCAGACATGCAGCTGAAGAAGAGATCTATACCAATTTAAATCAGAAGATCGACCAGTTTCTACAGCTGGCTGACTATGACTGGATGACGGGAGATTTGGGCAACAGGGCTAGTGACTACCTGGTGGACCTCATTGCCTTTCTGCGTAGCACCTTTGCTGTGTTCACACACCTTCCTGTGAGTACCGTCGCTTTTACTTTGTCCATCATATGGAAAAGGCTCTCTTAAAGATTTAGTTTGGTGAAGGATGTTTGTTTGTTTCTAGAAGTTCTCCAGCGTACAAAAGCTCACACTATTATAATCATCTCTTAACAAGATTTAGAGACCTCTTGTATTATTTTTTCATTTCCTTTTGCATTTTGTTTATTCTGAAAATGGTCCCTAATATTATATCTACTTATATTCCTTGTGACTTGAGGGTAATTAGTACAGACACATAATGAATGCCTTGGTAGAAATAAAAGAGAAACTTAGGAGTTAGAATTTCAGGTATGTATTTTCTAATTCTAGAATGTGCATTTAATTTTTTTATAACCTCAAATTTTCTAGTAAAATTCTCCATCTTTTTATTTAATTTATCTATCCTTTCTCTGTTTTCTTGAGCATATAGTCACAGTCATCTTAAAGTCTTTGTTTACTGTTACTAATGTGTTTGTCATCTACATATTGGTGGATTTGTTTCTGATTCCTTTTTTCCTTGGTTTTGAGTAATATGGTCCCATCTATGTACAGGTTCCTGGTAGTATCATCTCCCACTAGCTTTGGTTTATTTTTTCCCTTGCTAAGTAGGTAGAACCTGTGGGTGAGTTGTGGGTTGAGCCTCATCACTCTAATCCAATCATGGGCTGATTCAGGTCAGGCTTGGAATGCGGCTGTGCATATCTTTGTTTCGCCCCTGTCGGTAGAACGAGGTTCTTTGGGGCTTTTCAGAAGAGCCTGGCAGGTCGTTGACTCTTCAGCACTAAGGGGGTTATGGAAATTTCCACTTTCCTGAGAAACCTTATCACTTCAGCCGCCTCCTGTCTTACTCAGATTAACAGTTGCCAGCAGGAAAAGAAGTGGTTTGAGACTGTAGTCAGTTTACCCACTCCCTCAGAAGCTTTTGGCGCCCACCTGAGGTTCTCATGAATTCTCCCTCTACTGAGTCTTTTTCTCTGAAACACTGTGAGGCTGGGAAATCTTTGGTTTTCAGAGGTTTTGGCTTAAACACTTTTTTTTTTTTTTTTAGTTGTGTAGCTTTAGATTTCAGAAAATGTCTTGGGTATAAAACTGGCCCTCAGATCTCCAGTTTTGGCATTTCAGCTTCACAAGAGAAGCAGCAGCAATTCAGTGATATATTTGCACCTCAGCAGCTGTCCGCTACCTGGGCCTAACCAGGTCCACAGTCTGTTCCAATGCCCAGCTTTGGTGGATGCTTCCAGGGAGAGCCACAGGTCCTCGGCTTACCTATGAAAGGTTTGCCCTCTTTGCAGTTTTATTCCCTTCAGTCCTTACTGCTTCACAGTCTTCTGGTGTGTTAAAATATATGTTTTTCTAAGATTTTAAAAATCTGCCTCTATTAGTACTTAATGGGAGCATTGGCCTGCAGAAAACTAGATGATTTCATCTAGCTTCATCTTGATACCAAAGCCAGAAAAAAATAGCACAAAAGAGCAAACTACAAACTAATCTCACAATTATGGATAAAAAAAGTAAAATGGAGAAAGATTTTAGCAAGTGAATTCTAAAGTGTTTTAAGAAAGTAATTTGGTACTACCATGTTGGCGTTATTCTAAAATGCAAGAATGGTTTGCTATATTAAAATCAATTAATAAAATTTATCCCATTAATAGGTAGAGATAAAGTATATAATCGTCTTTATATTTTCTAAAGAGACATTGTATTAACATTCAGCTTGCATTCCTGATTTTTTTGAAAAACAACTTACTAAAATACGAGCAATGTAGTATCTCAGTACCACTGTGAGGAACATCTGCGTCACACTCAGCAGCCCCCGTGCACTCACCAGCGTGACACTAACAACGCATGTCTGCATCAGCGTCAGGAGTGTGGTGAGGTATTTTTAACAGCTGCTTTAGAAATTTTATCAAATAAACAAGGTAACAAAAAATAAATGATAAATAATGTAATAAGCCATAATATTGTCATTCTTCATAGATTATTACTGAATAGTTGAAAAACCCAAGAAAATGAAGTTAAAAATAATTAGGATCAATAAGACTTTAGTTAGTTAGATGGTCCACTTATAAAACAAATAAGTTTTGTTTGTTTCTCTTCTATTAGTAATATCCTCATAGAAAATATATTGCAAAAAATGCCCTATTTGCTACTGGGGCATAAGCTGTAAGATTTCCATGAGCACACTTAACAAGTTCTATGTAGAATCAATGTGAAGAACAGGTCAGAGAGTCATTTAAAAGAGACTTCATTATGTGCAAATACAGAGTTCCAGGATGGGAATATTTCTTATTGTAGAGTATTTAAAAAATTATTCTAATTGCAATGAATGTCAAGTAAATTCAGTGGTGGGTATCTTAAGATAATTCTGAAATTTATTTGGATACAAAATGGACAGTATTTGCCAAAGAAATATGAAAAAATTAATGACTGTAGTCGTTTTCTATCAAAATATGGAAGTTTATATTCTTTATTCTGTTTATTATAAAGTTTGTAATAAATGTATTAGCTAAATTATTAGATGTTCACATAGTATAATATTAATCATCCATTAAATTAATGTAGAGGGATATTTATTTTAAAACATTTTAATGATCTCTTAATTGAAAAGCAGATTGTAAAATCATATATATAATATCTCATTTTTATTAATATAGCTATAGACACATTATCATCTATATTATACATAGTAGAAGATCTAGACTTAGATACTCCTTGGTTTAACTATATTTATTTCTGTGTAGCTCTTAATTTTTCCATTTTGTTTATCTTTGTTTAAATTTTTTCCCCATCATGACACATTTGCTGCTTTTATAATCCTACCAGTGGGAGAAGGTGCTACTTAGAATCATTAATTTCTATCTTAAAGATTATTCTGTCTTTGGTAATTAACTTATATGATAAAACAATTTTACTGAAGAAAGATTGTTTTAAAATCTGTTTCATTTTTTGGAAGAAAAATGACCAATTGTATTTTGGCTATATGTCTCCTCACGTATTGTATGGTTACTTTAAGATTTTGAAGTATTATTTAAAAAAATACCTTTTTTTCAAAGTCAAAGCCATCTGGAAAAGTTTTCCATATATTCATTTTCTTTGTTTATTTTTTTTTCTGTTCTTACAAAATAAAAACAACACCCTAATAAGTGTCACTGTTTATACATGTCATATGATACAATGGTTCCTTCCTTTCACCTGTAGGCCGTTTAGAAGTGGTACTTTGAATTAAACACATGTTTATCTAACTCAAAGTGCATGCTTTTTCCACCTGTAAAGTTGTGACCTTCTTTATGGGTCTATAGTTTAAATAATTATTTGAGAATTTTTTTCTAGTTTTGTTTATTTTGAGTTACCTAAATACTATAACTTCTCTGTGTAGATTGAGTTGATTGTACCATTCAGAATCACCTTACCACCTACTACTCAGAATCAAAGCCAGAGGTAATTCACAGCCCTAAATCCTCAGTATTGCTTCCACAAATGCCCCTTTTCTCTCTTGCCTCTTACAGAGGTCTGTTTGTGAAGCCACCCTTTCAAAAAGTAGTTGTATTCATCAACTATTGTATTTTTTCTCTAGAATCAAATTAGTGTGGCTTCTAAACCCTTCTTCTGGTTTTCCACAGACAGCAAATAGATGCACAGAATTTGTGTTTATTCTCCCCAGCATGCTGAATAACTTCTTCCTGGAACCTCATTTAATAAAATATATTAGAGAAACAGAGCTGTGTCTAAGATTTGCTATTAGGCATTATTAGTGAAAAATTATAAAGGAAGGAGCTCTTTTTGAGAAAGAACCCAAATCGTTTATCTTTTAATTAAGGTAACTTTCTTTTCTTATTTGAAATTCCTTGGCAAGAGGGGCTCCCTGTCCAAGAGGAATATTGAACAATAGCAAATGTGCACATGATATGGACAGAACTGTAAAGGAAAAGGCAAAGACTACTATCTTACATTTTGAAATCCCCAATTTTTTATAGTTGCCAAGGATGTTTTGTCACCACGATTGCAACATAGTCAAAGAGATAGTCAGTGTCTAGGTACGTGTGTGTTTGGGTAGTAGAAATGTCAGGTACGTGTGTGTTTGGGTAGTAGAAATGTCCTCAATTGTGCTCCATTAGATAGCGAATGTAAGGGAGAAATTACTGAAATTTGCAACTGTTTTTCTCTTGAGGTTTGGTAACTAAGGTGACCTACCTATTTTCATGAGAAATCAGAAGTAATTTCAGTAATAAGGTTTTCCACAGTTAAGAGTTCTAAAATGTTTCTGTGTACTTTGAATTAACAGATGAGGTGTGTTCACAAACATTTTTTTTAGGTTTCTTTGTATAATTTACAATTGCACACACAGCTACCCATTTTGCATGCTCAGCATAAGTGCATACTTTTGAGAATTTATACTGTTATCCTGATAATTATCTTTTTCAGAAATGCTTGAGAGAGAGGAAATACTTTCTCAAGTAACAGACTCCAAGGAGGGAATCCTGAATTTGTTTTCTCTGTCTGCTGTTAATGTTAATTTATATAACCTGGGGCAAGATATCTCTTAACCCATGTTGGTTTGCCTTAACTTCCTTTGTCTAAAAATACAGCGATGCCTGTCCTTGGCCATCGTTCCTGGCCAGTTAGTTGATGGGTCATTTTTCAGGGAAAGTTATTTTCTACACAGAAGTTCCTGAAATTCTTCCTGTCTAAAACCCTCCTAAAATGGGCATTTCTATTAGCACTCCAGTTAATTTTATGAACTGCTGCCGTCTCAGCACTAACCAAATGATCCTGCTGTTTGGAAACTGTCAGTGCCTCTCATTAAGGAGAAAATCTTCTCTGGAACCATGAAGACTTTCCATAATGTGACTCCCAAACTACCTTTTTGACTTTATCTCTCTATCTCAATTTTCTATTTGCCCAAGACGTTCCTCCCAAAAACTGAAGTAATGCTCTTTGTCACGTACACCCAACTCTCTCTACCCTTGTTTTTTCCACGCCTCTTTGAATATTTTAAC